CCACTTGGAGGGTGATTTCAAGAAGACCGAGAAGAAGGTGACCTGGCTCTCGGCCGACCAGGAGCTCGTCCCCGTCGAGCTGGTCGACTTCGACTTTCTGCTCAACAAGGACACCATGACCGAGGAGGACACCCTCGAGGCCGTCCTGAACCCCCACACCGAGTTCCGGGATGAGGCCCTCGCCGACGCCAACGTCGCCGCCCTCAAGGAGGGCGACATCATCCAGTTTGAGCGCAAGGGCTACTACCGCCTCGACCGCCCCTACGCCCCCGGCCAGCCCGCCGTGCTGTTCAACATCCCCACCGGTAAGGCGGGTAAATAGATCCGCTTCCTTTCTTTTGAGGTATAGACGGCCTATGAAGATACGAAGAATAAACTTTTCGGATTTTAGTTTGCACAAAAAGACTCGATAAAGGTTCAAGGTTCTTTTGTTCCTTGTTTTTTCTTGTTATCTCTTTCCAGTTCTCCGTACGTAGACGATCACGGGTCAGTCGTGGTCATATTGGTCCAACCGCGTTTTGGCGGGTCCAGCTCGTCCACAAATCAAGGTGTAGTTAAGCCCTTAACCCAGGAACCCAAATCCATCATTAATCCATCCATGATCATGGATGTACAGGCTCATGGATGCGGGCTGTCCGGCATAGAACCTTGTGAAAATTCGAGCGGGTCAAACCGGAGAACAGGCAGGGTTAAATTCGTAGACCTGATGAGCCAATAAGAAGCGGACTCGGTGAATAGCCCTACCTTACCTTATCTACTCCGTAGTGTGGATGGAAAGGACTGCCACCAGCTGGAGGTGGGGATACTTCAGGGTCTCTACTAGGTACCGGTGACCAGCCACTGCACCACCTCTCTATTCAAGCGAGTAGCTACAGCTACAGCTATTAGCTACTAGCTACTAAATGGTTATGCAAAGAGAGGCTGGTATGGACCACGAATCGAGGGGCACTGGAAGCTAGACGCAGCTGATCTCGGAGCTACCTTATTTCGACTGCGGTTAAAGGGAAAGGAAGAGGGAGAGAGAGAGGGCCAACTTGAATAAGGTATGACGGCTAATCGAACAGGACCTCTTTTCTGTATAACTCACACAAAGATTATATGATCTCATCTCAATACACGACCCCGGAAAGAAAGGGGGAGAGGAGAAAAGAACCCGTGTACGGTATTCAGGGTTCAGTTACAAGATAATCCCCCTTCCCTCCCCCCTCCCACCCTCCTGGGCAGGCCACGACAACGGAAGCGGCCGACAGCCGACGGCATCGACTACCTTACCAGCCCGCCAGCTCCCTCCACATCCACTTGGTCTCCTCCTCCTCCTCCTTGGATCCGACCTCGGTCCCGGCGCCGAACTCCTGCCCCACGACGCAGACCAACCAGACGTCGTTCTTGGTGGCGTCGAGGAAGCGCTCGGTGGCCGAGTTCTTGGGGTAGATGCGGCGCCACTCGTCCCAGATGCGGTAGGCCTCGTCGCCCCAGGCGCGGAAGCTGACCTCCTCGATGATGGTGGGGGAGACGATCTCCTTTCCTCTAAACACGCCCCAGGTGACGGCGTTGACGTTGGCCGGGTTGATGTCGATGGGGTCGGGGTCTTCGGCGTTGGCGCTGGGCAGGGAGGACTCGAAGTCGCCGCGGACGTTGGTGGCGAACCAGGCCAGTTTCTCGTGGCCGTGGCGCTCGAGCAGCGGCTTGAGGATGGTGTGGTAGTCCGCGCTGGGGCAGAAGAACTCGACGAACGGTTTTTGGAACACGAACCCTTCCCCGGGCGGACCCCAGCCGAAGATCGGGTCGTCGCTGCGCACGCCGTTGATGGCCGGTTGCGAGGCCAGGGTCCACCACCCGCGCTTGTCGATCAGCTGCAGGAGTTCCGGCCGGATGATCTCCGTCTCGGCGTTGAGCGTCGTGCCGGACCCCTCCTCGGCCCCGCCTTCGCTCCACGGTACGATGTACAGCTCGCCGGACACGTGGCGCCGGAAGAGCGCGCTGATGTCGTCGCGCGTGACTGGGTACCCCCAGACTTTGTGGGCCACGGCCGGCGGGATGTGCAGGGAGGGCCCGTACCCGTCAATCTCGCCGAAGGCAGGTGAGCGCGCATCACCCCATCGTCCGTTGGGGAAGTCGTCCCAAGTCGCTTCTCGTCCGAGGGCGCCGAGCCCCTCCGAGATCTGCAGCGTCGTGCTGCGGTCCGGTGGCATGGCGGGTAGACCGGCGCTGAGCGCGGTGGCTTCATGGCTGACGGACTCTCGCGAGGATACATCCGACGGCTGTAACTTGTCGACAATGACGCGGTTGTGGGGCATGGAGCTGACCGAGGAGCGGCGGCTGGCGAGCGCGAGCGCCGGGGTCTCGAGGCGGGCGGCCGAGTATGCCGCGGAGTCCTCGATGGGTTCGTCATATTCTGTGTACGGACCGATGAGGTCGCAGCGCTCGAGCAGGAACGACACCGTCTTCTCGAGGTTGAGCGTGTAGAAGTGGAACCCACGCAGGCCTGGAGTGGGGAGACTGCGGATGCCGTCGACCAGGTCGCAGACGATGTCGACACCGGCGCGCTTGACCGCGTCGTCGTCGTGCTTGATCTCTTCCAACTTGGACAGGATGTGCGGGGGGATTTTGACATGGCTCAGCTTGGTCACGCGCGTAAGGATCTTGTAGCTGTGGAGGGGCATCAAGCCGGGGATGATGGGGATGGTCTTGAAGGCGCCGGATTCGTGGTTTCGTAGCATGTTCTCGAACTTGGTGTAGGCGTCAATGTCGTAGGTCAGCTGAGTCATGATAAAGTCGGCGCCCGCCTGGGTCTTCTCGACCAGGTACGGCACGTCCCTGGCGGGGTCCTGGCTGTCCTGGAAGTTGTCTGCCGGGTGACCCTCGGGGTAGGCAGCCACACCGATGCAGAAGTAGTCGCCGTGATGCTTGCGGATGTAGCGCACCAGGTCCACCGCAAAGGTAAAGTCCTTGTTGCTGTCGTCCTCGCCGTGCATGTTGTATTCCTCGCTGCGGGGCGGGTCACCACGGAGGGCGAGGATGTTCCTGATGCCCAGGACCTTGGCTTCCTCCAGCGCCTTGTCCACCAGGGCACGGCTCATGTTCGTGCAAGTCAAGTGTAAGCATGTGGTCAACTGCAGCTGGCGCTGACAGATCTCGGCCAGTTCCAGGGACCTTTGCGCGGTACTTCCTCCAGCGCCCCAGGTGACGGTGACGAACAAGGGACGAAGGGCCTGTGCCATACGCTCTAGACGGGCTTGAAGATTGGCGAAACCCTAATGGCGAATCCATGATCAATCAGTATATGTGGCTTGGGTTGGAGTCATCTTGCGGTGCGGGGAGAGGGAAATAAAAGCCCCACCATCTTGGTCTTGGGAGGAAAAAACTCCAGCGAAAAGTAATTCGCATCGGGCGGCAAAGCCGCGATCTTATCGGTAATCTTCTCCATGGTGAAGGCCGGCTCTTCTGCGGTATCTAGTAGGAGACGATGGCGAGAGAAGGGGGGAGAAGTGGCCGAGGAGAAGAAGACGCAAGAGAAGAAAGGCGGCGGTGGGGAAGAAGATCTGCTTCTGGCGTGGACTCTGAGGGGCCCTCCGGAAGAGGCAAAATGACGAACTGCCGATCTGGTCGGGCGACTCCATTTCATCTTTTGCCCAGTACTGTACTTGTTCACTAAGTACAAGTACAGTCCATTCACTAATTGTACATGCAATCACCCATCCTGACGGTTTGGTGTGGCGCATTCGTTAAAGCATGCGTCCTTCGTCCTGGCCGACTGCCTGCATTATGCAATCACACCGACGGCCCTCTAGGCTTGGCTGCTGCTTGCTCCACGAGGCAATCGGGCGTGTGAGAAACTGGTGAACCATGGAACTCTTGTCGCAATAGGTGGTAAAGCACGAGAAGGCAGACAATTGGATTAATGACGATAGAACATAGAATATCGGACAGGGTCCATTGTTCTTCTCAGGGGAATCCAACTATAGAGATTAAATCAATTATCAATTAAACAACCATCAGCCATGCAAACAGGGCAAACATTAAGCACCACCACCAGCAGTGTATCGCAACAACGAGGTTACTCAAGACAGATAGATGCAGTCCACCTCAGACATACATACATACATGCATACTGCCCTTCCTGCAGCCTGTCAACCTGTCAATGTGATCAACCTAACTTCCCCAGCTTCAATCCAACCTTACCGATCAAGATTCCCAGACGAGATTCAACGAATCCCACCTCCCCGCCATCCCCTCAGCCAACCGTCCGACGGGAATGACATTGCGATAACCCAGAAAATGGCCTCTCAACGCTCAATCTCCCGTCTCACCCACTTCTCCTCCTCCTCCTTCTCCTCCTTCACCTCCCACCTCAAGCCCTCCTCCCGCCGGTACACCTCGACCACCCCTTCCCCTTCTCCGCCCGCCGCCGCGAAAGACCTCCGCGCTCGCCTGCAGCGATTCAACGACCGCCTCCCCCCGTTCCTGCGCACCTACACCACGCCGCTCCTAGGCGCGCCCGCAACGCACGTCACCTCGTTCCTCATCCTGCACGAGCTCACCGCCATCGTGCCTTTATTCGGGCTGGCAGCCGCTTTCCACTACGGCAACTGGCTGCCCGATCTGACCGCGAGCGAGTCCTTCCAGCAGGGCACGCAGCGGTTCCAGCGGTGGCTGCGCAAGAAGGGCTGGGTGGATGAGGTCACGCAGGTGGATCTGGCTTCCCTTGTTGAGGGTGATGGTGGCGGACTAGCGGAGCGAGTGGCCGGGAACAGCCGCAGTCAGACGGAAGGCGTGCGTCTCGTGCTGGAGTTTGCGACGGCGTACACGGTGACCAAGTTTCTCCTGCCGGTGCGGATTGCGGCGAGTGTTTGGGCTACGCCGTGGTTTGCGAGGGTGATTCTGGGGCCCTTGGGGAAGGGGGTCAGGGGGCTACTAGGGAGGAAGTAGACAGCAGTGCTGTGACACTGATGCTATGTTCTACGCGGCAAGGAATTATTGTATAGATGGAGATGAGGTAGAGTTAGATCTGGAAATGACTTGTATTTCTCATGGGGCTTTTGGGTTTTCTAGATTGTTTCATCTAAAGAGCGCTGCCTCCCACATGCTCGAGGGTTGGTAGGCTCCGAAATGGTAAAGCTGAGATGAGAAATTTAGGCCTTCTCGTAGATCCAGTCGAACTGGCTCTGCTTCCAGCTCTGGAGCTCCTCGGGCTTGAACCAGAGGGCAATCTCCTTCTTGGCGTTCTCGACGGAGTCGGAACCGTGGCAGACGTTGCGGCCGACATCCTGGGCCAATTGTCAGTGGTGTTTTTGGGGGCTGAATCTAAGGGCAAAGGGCTCTTACGATGGCGTAGTCACCACGGATGGTGCCGGGGGCGGAGGCAAGGGGGTTGGTGGCACCGAGGATGGCTATTCGACGTTGTTAGTATCGCTGTAGTAGAACGATGGGAGAGGAAGTCTTACTGCGGCCGGTCTTGACGGCATCACGGCCCTCCCAGACCATGGCGCAGATGGGGCCGCTCAGCATGTCTATTTGAGAGATTAGCATGTGTTTGTTGTATCATAACAGCCATCCAAGCTACTCACAGGAGACGAGTTCCTTGAAGAAGGGCTTGTCGCTGAGGTCAGCGTAGTGCTGCTCGAGGTGCTGCTGGGAAGGAGAGCACAGCTTCATGGCAACGAGCTTGAAGCTACAGGACAATTAGTATGGCTGGGGAGGACAATGATCGGCATTGAGGGACACCTACCCACGGTTCTCGAAGCGAGAGAGGATGGGGCCAATGAGTCCGCGCTGGACACCATCGGGCTTGATGGCAATGAAGCTGTGTCCGGTTGTTAGCTTCGAAGTCAATGCAGATGAGTGTTGAGGTCAAGCGTTGTCAATCTGGGCAGATAATCGACACATGGTTGACAGAGAGAACGAGACCAGTCAACGCATGAGGAAGGTGAATAATGAGGAGCATCAACTTACGTCTGCTCGTTGGACATTTTGAAGGATGTGGATGATAACGATTCACGGAGATTCGAATGAGAGGAGGAAAAGGGAAAGGAAGCAGAGCCGGCGTGAGTTGGGCGAAAAATATAAGGAGGGACCGCAAACGCGCTGTGTGGGGCTCGACGGAAAGGGACGCAAAAGGAGGGGCAATGCCTTTTGAGCCTTTGAGGGCCTTGTGGCCTGGAGCGGCCACCTCAATGGCCTGACCGCCTCACCGCCTGAGGTGTCTAACCCCAACCTCCCGATCGAGTTTAGAGGCACACTAACCCCAATCCAGGGAGCTTCCGTCACGGTCATCGCCAATCTGGCCAGGCTGGAACTATTCACATGTCACTCTTATTCGAACGTCCCAGAGCCTGTCGCTTCTTGATTTGACCTCCACCTCTGGTAGATGCAGGTCCTCACCCCTAGTGACTGGTGAAGTTTATTTTTTTCAGAGATTGAGTGTCTCTGATTGCATCTTATCTATTTAAGCTCGCAACATGGCCGGCTTCCGGCCATCGTCCACCCGATGGACCCTCTTATTATCCTTGGTGATTGTCCTTGGATGTCTCATCATCCCAGGATGTAAGTTCTCTCTCAAGGTTTTTCTCGGTATCGTGCTTAAGCCTAATTGCAACGTATAGTTGCCGTGAAACACGAGAGTTTCAAGACATGCTCACAGTCAGGGTTCTGTAAGCGGAACCGAGCGTTCGCCGACGATGTCACCGCGAAGGGCTCAACTTGGTCCTCCCCTTACGAACTCGAATCCTCCTCTATCCAGTTCAAGGATGGACAACTGCACGGAACCGTTCTCAAGTCTCTATCCGCGGATGAAAAGGTCCGGTTGCCCCTCGTGGTCTCTTTCCTGGAGTCAGGCGTCGCACGAGTCACCGTCGACGAGGAGAAGCGCTTGAAGGGCGAAATCGAGCTTCGACACAACAGCCCGGCACGCAAGGAACGTTACAATGAGGTGGAAAAATGGGCTTTGGTTGGTGGCTTGGACTTGAGCAAGACCGCGACCTTGGAACCAGAAACCGAGGCTGGAGTTACCCGGGTCTTGTACGGTCCAGACAACAAGTTCGAAGCGATCATTCACCACAACCCCTTTAAGGCGGAGTTCAAGCGGGACGGACAAACTCACGTCCAGCTGAACCACCAGGGATACTTGAACTTGGAGCATTGGCGGCCTAAGGTCGAGGCTCCGGAGGGCAGCGAGCAGGAGACTTCGGAAGACGAGAGCACCTGGTGGGAAGAGAGCTTCGGAGGTAACACGGACTCGAAGCCCAGGGGCCCCGAAAGTGTCGGATTAGATATCACCTTTCCTGGCTACAGCCATGTTTTCGGTATTCCCGAGCACGCCGACTCCATGTCTTTGAAGCAGACTCGGTAAGCGGACCAACTACCTATATCATGAAGACGCTAACCGAATCTTAGCGGTGGTGATGGCAACCACAATGAACCTTACCGCATGTACAACTCGGATGTGTTTGAGTATGAGCTCAACAGCCCGATGACCCTTTATGGCTCCATTCCGTTCATGCAAGCTCATCGTAAGGACTCTACCGTCGGCGTCTTTTGGCTCAACGCCGCAGAGACCTGGGTGGACATTGTCAAGGCCACGTCGTCTCCCAACCCTCTCTCCCTTGGTGTGGGCGCCAAGACAGACACCCAGAGTCACTGGTTCTCGGAGTCTGGTCAGATCGACGTTTTCGTTTTCCTGGGACCGACACCGCAAGACATCAGCAAGACTTATGGTGAACTCACTGGTTTCACTCAGTTGCCTCAACATTTTGCCATCGCGTATCACCAGTGTCGCTGGAATTACATCACCGATGAGGATGTCAAAGAGGTAGATCGCAACTTTGACAAGTACCAGATCCCCTACGACATCATCTGGCTGGACCTCGAGTACACTGATGACCGGAAGTACTTCACCTGGGATCCGCTTACCTTCCCTGATCCTATTAGCATGGAGAAGCAGCTCGATGAGTCGGAGCGTAAGCTCGTGGTCTTGATCGATCCTCATATCAAGAACAAGGATGGATACACCATCTCGGAAGAACTGAAGAGCAAGAACTTGGCCACTAGGAACAAGGACGGGGAGATCTACGATGGCTGGTGTTGGCCTGGCTCATCGAACTGGATTGATACCTTCAATCCGGCAGCCATCAAGTGGTGGATGAGCTTGTTCAAGTATGACAAGTTTAAGGGTACCCTGTCAAATGTCTTCATTTGGAATGACATGAACGAGCCATCCGTTTTCAACGGACCCGAAACCACTATGCCCAAGGACAACCTGCACCATGAGAATTGGGAGCACCGCGATATCCACAACGTGCATGGTGTCACTTTGGTCAATGCCACCTACAATGCCCTGTTGGAGCGCAAGAAGGGCGAAGTCCGCCGGCCCTTCGTCTTGACCCGCTCTTACTATGCCGGTGCTCAACGGATGTCAGCCATGTGGACGGGCGACAACCAGGCGACCTGGGATCACCTTGCTGCCTCGCTACCAATGGTGTTGAACAATGGTATCGCGGGTTTCCCCTTTGCCGGTGCTGATGTCGGTGGCTTCTTCCAGAACCCAAGCAAGGAACTCTTGACCAGATGGTACCAGACCGGTATCTGGTATCCGTTCTTCCGCGCCCACGCTCATATTGACACTCGCAGACGTGAGCCGTATTTGATTGCTGAGCCTTTCCGGTCCATCATTGCGCAGGCCATCCGCCTGAGATACCAGCTCTTGCCTGCCTGGTATACCGCCTTCCATGAGGCTTCGGTGAACGGGATGCCGATTGTGCGGCCCCAGTACTATGTTCATCCTACCGACGAAGCAGGCTTTGCTATTGATGATCAGCTTTATCTCGGCAACACGGGTCTTCTTGCCAAGCCGGTGGTGGCCGAGGATGCTACCAGTGTTGACATCTATCTTGCTGACGACGAGAAGTACTATGATTACTTCGACTATACCGTCTACCAAGGAGCAGGCAAGCGGCATACCGTGCCCGCTCCGATGGAGAGGGTACCTTTGCTGATGCAGGGCGGCCATGTCATTCCTCGCAAGGATCGCCCACGCCGCAGCAGCGGACTTATGAGGTGGGATCCCTACACTCTTGTTATTGTGCTGAACAAGGACGGCCACGCCGACGGTACCCTCTACGTTGATGATGGCGAGACGTTTGACTACGAGCGTGGCGCTTACATCCACCGCCGCTTCGCCTTCCGAAATTCTGCTCTGTCGTCCGAAGATCTCGGTGCGAAGGGTCCCAAGACGAACGAATATCTGAAGAAAATGGCTGGGGTTCGCGTGGAGCGGGTCATTGTTGTTGATCCGCCCAAGGACTGGCAGGACAAGACCAGCGTGACGGTGATTGAGGAGAATGCCAAAGCTGCCACCACCGCCTCGATTGAATATCACAGCCAGCAAGATGGCAAGGCATCGTATGCGGTGGTCAAAAACCCCAATGTGGCCATTGGCAACTCGTGGCGGATTGAGTTTTAGAATTTGGGGCGATAGACTAGTGGGTTACAATAGTATATTGAACTCCACGACCATTCTGGCAGAAGCAACAGTGTCAACAAGCTCAAGGAGAATGTAAAACGTAGTAATGTAGAGCCAAGTGGCGAATAAGCACTCTGGGCACTGGGCGGCAGGTTGTATTGTTACCCGTTTGGGACGAGACTCGATTTTTGGCGCCGATCAGTGGGGCTGAGTCAGCGGGCGCCAGGGGAAAAAGTAAAAGGGAGGAAAGACGCATCCGGTGGTGGCTTGACTCTCGAGGGGCTGGAGATCTGACACGGCCGTTGCAATCCATCCTTTCATTCTCTTCGTTTCTTCCAGCGTGGTTTAGGATCTCGGTGTGTTTTTATGCGCGACTCCTCTTTTGGCCGACAGTTATAGATCATCTCATCTCCGGTCCACCGCAATCTCCGCTCTCAACACGTTCTCATACGCTTCGACGGGCTACTGAACACACCATGAATCTCTTATCGCAAGCCCTTGAATATGGAGCTCCTCTATTGTGCGCTTCTATGTCCGCTGTTGGCCTGACCAGATCACTGATAATGAATCTCAAACAGTATCATGACCTCGCCGGTCACCTCGTATGCGGACCAGATCCTCAGCATCCACCGCAGCCGAAGCTCGGCTGGCTTCTCCATGGACATCCCATTGATCATGCTTATTGCGTCGATTCTGAAGTAAGACGTGTCGTGGGGCAGTGACGCGACGGGGACTGACACATAATACCTAGGGTCTTCTACTGGTTCGGCGCCAAGTACTCTCTTTCGCTCCTCATCCAGGCCGTCCTCACGATCGGAGTGCAGATTATTCTGCTCAAGGTAGCCCTCGACAACCGGCCGGCCCCTGGGTTGAAGAATGGCGTGGAGCACGTCCCCTTTAGCAGCGTCGACAGCGGGCAGGGGTTCACGAGACCGTATGATTTCTGGCAGTGGCGGAGCGCGAAGCCGTATGTTTCCGTGTTGCCCCAATTGCGATGTGGCTGCTGACCCAACTGATTGTGTAGTTACTGGATGTTCCTCGCCTATTTCACCGTTGGCCTCGCCGTCGTCCAAGTCTTCCTTCCGCCGCTCGCCTACTCGCAGTCCTATATCGGTCTGCTGGGATACGTCGGCCTCGCAGTGGAGGCGACGCTGCCGTTGCCCCAAGTCATCAAAAACCATCAATCGCGGTCCTGCGTGGGGTTCCGGCTGTCGGTGGTTGCGGCGTGGATTCTGGGTGACATCACGAAGCTGAGCTACTTCTTCTGCAGCGCGGAGGTGATCCCCTGGTCGTTCCGGCTGTGCGCGATGTTCCAGTGCATCTGTGATTTGTATCTAGGACTGCAGTTCTGGATGTATAGTGGACCCTCGTTTGGGGCTGCGGGCAGTCCTTCTCGGGGTGCGAGTGAGGGGTGGGAGGTTGAGGAGAAGGATATTCGGATGACTTGATGCCTTTGTTGGCGTGTATATAGATGTGGCAGTTTGTTGTAGGGCTAGATTCTTAAATTGGATCTTCAGACTACACAGGCTGTTTTGTTGGAGACTATAGATATATTCATGGAGCTTTCTTGTTGTTTTACAGTGGAAACGGGACCGCTCTCCGTCCGATCGATCGCCGAGCGGGCGGCAGATGACATGCCGCTGCCGCTCAGTCCGCGGGGTCAACTCCATCCCCCACCATCCATCCTTTCGCTCTCAAGTGTTAGTCCGTTGCCTGTTTCCCGTACTGCACAACATCGAAAGCTCCCAACCATGGCCTCCAACACAGAAACGATCCGAATTGGCTATGTGCCAGGTATGTCTGCCCTTAGTATTCCAGCAAGACCATCACCACCCCTCATACATCCCAAGCCATTCTCCTGCGCAAGAAATCAAACCAGAGCCACCAGTCCCCCACCACCCACACCCTCCCATACTTCCTACCAAGGTACTAACAGAAAAAAAAGAGCACTACCTCGGCCCGCTGCACCTGGCGCTGCGCTCCTCCGCCGCCGCCCAGCTCCCGTTCGAAGTCCGGCTGGTCCCCTTCCCCTCCGGCACGGGCCACATGATCACCTCGCTCCGCGACCAGGAGATCGACCTCGCGATCGGGCTGACGGAAGGCTGGGTCGCCGGGCTGGTGGGCAAGCAGCAGGCGCCGAAGCCCGCCGCGACGGACGGCTACAAGATCGTGGGCCACTGGGTGGACACGCCGCTGCGGTGGGCGATCGTCACCGGGCGCGAGCGGGAGACGATCCGGGGCGTGGAGGATCTGAAGGGGGGGAGGGTGGGCGTAAGTCGCTTGGGAAGGTGAGCATCCTACATAAAAAACATGATTCGCCCTATACCAAGATTGCCACGACTGACAGTGCATGGTGGCATGGTGCATGGTTACAGCGGCTCCCACATCATGTCCTTCGTCCTCTCGCAGACCCACCACTGGTCGGAGAGGGACACCCTCACCCCAACCATCCTGGGGCCCTTCGGGTCCCTCCGCAACGGGGTCACCGGCTACGATGACACTCCCGATCAACACCAAAAAACGACCCCGACCCCGACCCCGACCCCGACGGCCGACTTCTTCATGTGGGAGGAATTCACGACGAAGCCGTATTTCCGGCCCACGGTCGCAAACCCGCACCCGCCGTTGAAGAAGATCGGCGAGATCTATACCCCCTGGCCGTCGTGGATGATTGTCGCGTCGACGGCGACGTTCCCCGTTGGGGAGTTGGGGAGGGATGCGAGGTTGGAGAGCCTGTTTGAGGTGTTGGATCGCGGGATTGAGGAGTTTGAGGCGGATCGCGAGAGGGTGATCAAGTTGTTGGGGACCGGGGAGCTCGGGTGTACGTATGGGGAGGAGGATGCGCGGGAGTGGATGAAGGATGTGCGGTTTAGTCAGGGGACGCGGGGGGTCAAGCGCGAGGTGGTGGATGGGGTCGTGGATGTGTTGAAGGTTGCGGGGGTTATTGATGGGGAGTTGGAGAATGAGGCGGCTTTTGAGCGGGTGGTGGGGATTGCGCGGTAGATTGTTGAGGATAGTTAGTAGTTTGTCCCATGCAGTGGTATATCTCGTGAGAGTAGGCAGGCCGAGTACTCCGTACCACGTAGGGAATGCCAACCCAGCGTCAATGCTGTCTAGTCCAGACCAAGTGCGGTTCCACAATCCATGTCCTGCTGTGTTCGACCATAGGGATCAGTGGGGAGCACAGGTAACGTTAGCCCCAATGACCTCACTGTCGCTGTAGCCGCAGCCTACAGCCTACAGCCTACAGTACAATCTACCTCCACCCCAATACTAAATGACTCTTCATTTGAGTATCAACGAACCCTCCCACTGCACAGACCCTAATGCCAATCCCAGCGATGCAGCCAGGCCACCTAGCATACCATATATCCCCGGGCCAACAGTCGCCCGGCGCATTCCTCCCCGCCCCTCATCCAGAGGATCCCATCCGCAACCGTCCCCCAAAATAGAATTTAGGTTGAAAGCACGTCCATCAGACGCAGGTACACAGACGCACAGGATGTTTCAGAGGGCAGGAAGGGTCTGGACAAAGCAGAGCGTTGTCCGTGCGCGGGATTAGGATCGACCTAGACAGACCCGTGGACGGGGACGGGGATGGGGATGGGGATGGGGATGGGGATGGGGATGGGGATGGGGCTGTTTGCACGTTTCTGGTTCCATCCCTTGGCTTGTGTATCTTGCAGGCGTTTTCTTTTTTTTTTTTTTTTTTTTTCCTATGGTGTTGTGCTACGCGGGATGTATACTAAACCTACTAGTGCTTGGTTGTATAACACCAGCAGAAAGTATATTTCGATCATCCTACCTCATCATCATTGATGGTCTTGTCAAGTGCAGTATCACCCGCCCCTGCCCCTGTCCCCATCATCCACTGATGATACTGAGCCTTCGTGACAGTGGGGGTAAGGGGTATGAGGATCCGGGAGGGGAGCGCGAGGGCGTGTGATTCGACCAAAGGTTGCTTGTCTTGTCTTGTCTTGTCTTGTCTTGCGTATTGGAACAGGTCTGGACTAAACGTGCTCTGGTGGTGAGTCGCCGTTTTCTGTTCTTACTTTCCTACTTACCCCGGTCAATCAATGGTCAATGATCATCTTGTCCCTTGCATGGTGGGCGCGTGGCTTCCGCTTGACGATGAAATGGGGGGACGGGAACAGGAACAGGAAGTAGATGCGGTGGTCAACCGGCAGATTGTAGAGGGATGGTTTTGCGTCATTCGTTAGGGATGGTGGGGGGTTTGGGCAATGCGGGCAATGCGGTGGAAGAAGGCTTAGAGGCTAGGCCTTGGGGGAGGCCGGAAGGGGAATCGAATTGTGTTTAGCTTTGGATTTGAGGCGTTTGGGGTTGGAGCGCAGGATTTGAAGATGGTGCCGGGTGGTTGTGATGTGCTGTATCGTGCTGGTGGTTCGGGTGTGGTGATTGATCATGGCGTGCTTGAAGCATTAGGGCTAGAGCGGTTGGGCTCTCCCTCCGCTGGATCAACTAAAACTACACGTGGATAACTGCTACCTCAGCGACAGCTCTACTCTGTCTGGTAGATCATGTTCACGAAGTCAATTGGGTTCTACCTCTACCCAACTCAACCTGGCAGCATTCTTCCTCGAGGCCAGTTGCCCAGGGATATGGAATGCGAACTTGGCCCCGGCCGGCCTCAACTCCGCTCCCAACTCCCAATCCAGTATGACCTTTTCCCCCCACTCCACCCCCCCCAAACTAACCCGATCACAGGCACGGCTACGGCTATCAATATGACAGTTCCGGCCGTCAGGGGATGCTCTCTTCCCCGCCTCGTCCCACTGGCGCCTCTTTTGTCCGGCTGCGCGTGTGTCTGTACTCGGAAGTGTCAAGAATGTGTGGATGATCCTGGCCCTGACGATCCCGGAAAGAACCACACTCTTGATCAAGACCATGCGATCAGAACGCATGACAACGATAACTGGCTCTATCAGATGGGTGACCGGTTTGGGGTTATTGACGTTAACGTCGTTAAGGTTGGCTGTCTAGAGGGGAAATGGGGATATAAAGTGGAGGTTGCTGTCTCATCGGGCTGGATGGAAGTTGAGGTTATTCGGAAACGAGGTTCGACAAGCGACACACGAGATACTGACTTAGGGGAAGCATTGTCACCACCACCACCACCACCACCATCACCACCACCTGAGTAAGCATCAGTTATACCCCCTCTTTCGTCTTTTGTTGTGCAAAGATATCTGTTCACACTCTTCCCTTCGTGTTGTCTACTTCCAGCACATCTTTCCACTCGTGTGGTCGATTATCGAACAGCACGATGTTCTTCCAATCCATCCTCGCCTGGACAGCGGCGCTGGCTTCGCTGAGCGGAGCGTCCGCGAAGCTCGATCTTTCGTCCTCGAACAATGTGGCTGTCTACTGGGGTGGGTGGAGTGATACTGTGACAGATGGACGTTCAAACTGACTTAGGGCTAGGCCAGAACTCGTATCGGGGGTCGGGGAACTTGGCGCAGCAGAATCTGTCCTATTATTGCGACGGTAGAGTGTCCACACCACCTGCCCACTTGCGACATGCGACTCTGGGCAGAGCTAATCTCGCGACCAGATCCCAACATCGATGTTCTTATCCTGGCGTTTGTGATGCGGGTGAACGGGGCAGGCGGCGTGCCCGAGTATGACTTCGCCGACACCAGCAAGGCTTGTCCGTTGTTCAACGGGACCAATTTGCCCAATTGTCCGCAGATTGGGTATGTACCGCTCTGTTTGCGGGGTAAATGTTGACCCTAACCCTGGCCAGCAACGACATCACCACGTGCCAGCAGAAAGGCAAGACGGTGATCCTCTCCATCGGCGGGGCGACGTACAGCGAAGGCGGGTTTGCGTCCGACGCGGCGGCGCAGGCCGGCGCCGACTTGGTCTGGCAGACGTTCGGTCCGCCGCCATCCAGTAACAAAACGCTTCGCCCCTTCGGCAACGCCTCCGTCGACGGCTTCGACTTCGACTTCGAGGCCACCGTCAACAAGATGGCCCCCTTCGCCAACCGCCTGCGCGCCCTCGCCGACACCGACCCCTCCAAGCCGTACTTCCTGACCGCGGCGCCGCAGTGCCCCTACCCCGACCTCGCCGACCAGGAGATCCTCAACGGCCCCGTCTCCATCGATGCGGTCTGGGTGCAGTTCTACAACAACCCCTGCGGCCTGACCTCCTTCCAGCCGGGCCAGTCCACCCAGTCCTCCTTCAACTTCGCCCAGTGGGACACCTGGGCCCGCACCGTCTCGCAGAACAAGAACGTCAAGGTCCTCGTCGGGGCGCCCGCCAACACCGGCGCCGCGGGGTCCGGGTACGTCTCCAGCTCGCAGCTGCAGCAGGTCATCCAGTACACCAAGTCCTTCAAGTCGTTTGGCGGCGTCATGCTGTGGGATGTCACCCAGGCGTACGGCAATCCCGGGTACTTGAGTGGGATTCGCTCCGCGTTGACGCAGACGATGTCGAGGATTTATCATAAGTTTCGGTATCCGGTGAGTGGGTTGTAGGGGGGTTTACTGAGGTGGTGGTGGTGATGGTGGTAGTCCTCTCAGCCCTGCGCGATCGACCTCATTTCCTCCCAATTCGCTCTTCCTGAACTCAGGTGACGGGCGACTTGGACAATTGGCACGTGCTGACTTGATTTTCCCGTCAAATCAACCCCCACGACTCGCGGGAGCAACCGACTGCTCATGGGTTATCGGTCTTGGCTGCATGGATAGTTGCATTCGAGCTCAGCTGCAGCATCGCGTCCATTGAACGCCTACAGGACGACGGGGAGGACGACCACGGAAGCAGGCACGATATGCTTCGGGTGTGGTTTGGATTTGTCGATGGCGAGAGCGTCGTATGCCACAACGCCCTGATATCATGAAGTATCCGGCGGCGCTGTGGAGTCGCATCCCAAGGATTTTGGGGCTGAGGATGGATCGTGATGGGAAAGTCGTTACGGCGGATTACATCGGGATGCGGACGAGTTTGCAGGGGGTGTTTTTGCGGTGGGGGATGCTGGTAGCGAAAAGTGATGAGAGTAAGAATGTGCCTCATGCTTTGTTTGCGGGGAACAGGGCTCGTGTTTCTGTATGGTAGGTTTTGTTTTGATTTATTCTGTCTGTGGATTGATTAATGAGTGGGCGATGAGTTGAAGAGGCTGTGGGAGCGGGTGCTGGAGGATCGGAGGTGAGTGTTGCGCCTCGTCAGAAGCCATCTTACTCATTCTATCAAGTCAGTCTGCTCAAGTGATCAAGAGTATATATACCCTAGCTTGATGACACGTAGCCTATACTCTATGTCGGCAAGGTATAAGTATCAGATACTGAGGCAAGTCATTCACCGTATTCCAGCCCTAACTACTGTATACATCTCTTCATCGACGAAAAACTCAAATCAATTACCCACTATGAACTGCCCTGTCGGACAGCCTTATATATTAATTAAGTACTGAACAATTACCCAGCAGCAGCGCAGCATCGAAAACATCACATAACCCATAAACCGTACTTCTTATACTCCTCCTCCTCCTCAACCCTACCCAACCTCCTAACTTCCTCATCTACCCCCAATAAACCCCCCAGCTAATCCTCCACCCCCACCACTGCCTCCTCCTTCCACCCCACCGAAATCACCCACTCGCGCTCCCGCACATCCCGAGCTCATCTACTCCAGCTCCTCCTCCTCCTTCGAGGCCGCCAACGAGAAGCGGCCCTTGGGCTTTCCAGGCTCCTCATACTCGACCGTCAACCGCGCCAAATGGCCCAACAGATTCTCAATCTTCAGGTCACCCTTATCGCGCTTGGCGCGGCCCAGATTATCAAGCCACTTGAACTTGTTCAGCATCACATACACGAGGGCGATCACGATCTCGACGCCCAACGAGTAGCCCCAGACGCGCACCACCGTCACAATATCCGTCCAGCCGTTATTGGTTTCCACGAACTGGTCTTTCGGGATCGTGGGCATGTTCTGGTTGCTGAACCATCCAAACAAACAGAAGATTGTGGCCAGGATGTCAACCCCCAAAATGGCGGTGACTAAATGGATGGACGGCCAGGTGTCCATGCCGCGGGTGACGAAGATGAGCCAGTTCTCTGTGAGGGCCACTTCCAGGAACAACACTTCTTGGATGGAGCCCCAGTTTTGGATGATTCCGCCAGAAGGTAAAAACATTGTGCCGCGGACGACCCATGTGCCCAGGGCGAGGAGCAGGCCCAGCAGCACGGATATGAACCAGATCTTCGGGAGTTGCCATTCCACGGGTCGTAGGTCGAAGGAGGCGTTGTCGTAGGCGACGGCTACTGTTGCGAGATCGGCGAAGAGGGCCAGGAAGACGATGAGTTCAACGCGGATGCTCTCGTTTAGAATGATCATGCTCGTCACGAGGTAAATTTCCAGGTGCAGGCACAGCGCGATACGGTACTGGATGTAGGCTTTCATGCGGTGGAAGATCTGGCGCGCGACCTTAATCGAGTCGATGATCGTCGACAGGCCCGGCTCAAGGAAGACGATGTCCGAGGCGGATTGGGCGGCCTCGGACGCGCCTTCGACCGCGATGCCGCAGTCGGCTTTCTTCAGGGACGGCGCGTCATTGACCCCGTCGCCTGTCATCGCCGTCAGGTGGCCCCGGTCCTGCAGCATCTGCACTACTTGGTACTTGTGCTCGGGGAACACCTCCGCGAAGCCGTCGGCTTTCTCGACCAGGTCGCCTGCCATGGCTCCGCTGAGCCCGCCGTGGATCAGCTTGTCCGAGTTGTACACCTTGGTTCCGAGGGCGAGCATCTTGCACGTCTCCTTGGCGATCGCGATCGCGTCGCCCGTCAGCATCTTGACGCTGATGCCCAAATTCTGCGCCTCCGTGATCGTCTGCGCCGTGTCTTCGCGCGGCGGGTCGAACATCGGCAACATCCCCAGGAGCGTCCAATCTTCACCCTCCCTCTGCACAGCGACGCCCAGCGAGCGGAACCCGCGGTGCGCGAATTCCTGCGCCTTGGTCTTGTAGTGGTCCGCTGTCTCCTTAGAGCAGTTAGTCAGCTGGAGCACCGCCTTCGGCGCGCCCTTGGTGCACGTGTACCGGATGCCGTCGCAGCTGGCGACCGTCACGATGCGCTTGGACACCGGGTCGAACGGCGTGAACTTCTCCGTCTTCCAGCCGCGGCGAAGAATCTCGCGGGCCTTCGGGTACTGGCGGAGCGTGAGGATGGTCACTTTATCGATCGGGTCCAGGGATTCGATGTTGTGAGACGAGGCCAGCACCGCCACCGCGAACATCCAGTCCACGTCCACGCCCTCCGCCACGTATGGCTCCCGGATGCTGAGTTTGTTGGCCGTTAGTGTGCCGGTTTTATCCGAACAGAGGATATCAACGCCCTAATCTTTGTCAGTGTCGCTCCGTGTTTTGCTGTGTGGGAGGGTGCATACCGCTAGAGATTCGATGGCAGTCAGTTTCTGCACGATGGCCTTCTTCTTCGCCAGGTACGCGGCCCCCACGGCCATGGTCGTCGTCGTGACCACAGGCAAACCGACGGGAACGCCGATAATCAGCAGAGCAAGGGTGTAGTGCAGCAGCGTCTGCTGGCCCGGCGAGGCGATGGGGATGTGGCGGAAGAAGCCACCGATCCACGCCGCCAGGATCCACGCCATGACCAGGATCAACAGCGACGTTCCGATGTTGTCCATGACGATCTCGAAGTGGCCCGCGCCCTTGGCGGACAGCACCATGCTGGCGGTCTTGCCGACAAACGAGTTTCTCGCCCCAGTCTGCACCACGGCATAGGCCTTGCCGCGCTTGCAGCCGGTGGTGTAGTAGATCATCCCACCCATATAGCGGTCCACGGCCAGGGACTCGCCGGTGATGGCCGAGTGATCGCAGGCCAGGATGGGGTACCCGCGCCTGGGCTTCGACTGCGGCTGATCCTTCTCGGGATCCTCCCCGCCGATCTCGGCTTGCTTTCCGGGCTTCTCGGGCTCGTTGTCCTCGAGATCGGACTCGGAGGTACTGCTGAGATCGCCTTGCTCCAGCATTCTCTTGTACTCCTCAAATCCATTGGGGTCGTTGTAGTCGCAAATCACCTTAGCGTCGCCAGGGATGACATGGCCCTCGGAAACGATAATCTCCACCGCGTGTTAGTTTTGGACTGCGTTACTGAGAGGCCAGAGAACCTACCACGTCACCTGGAACAAGCTCCCGAGCGAGAATCTCCTGCTGCTGGCCATCACGGATGACCGTTGCTCTCATGGCGATATCGCCCTTCAAACTGGCGACCACGTCCGCGGCTTGCTTTTCCTGGTACCAACCCACCGCGGCGTTCAAGCAAAGAATACCGATGATGACACCAAAGTCGATCCAGTCATCCAAGCCCGCGGCAAGAAGCACGGCCAGTTCCATGACTACCTCACCAAGTCAGCTCTACTTTTTTGGGCTAGGCAGCACAGCAACATACCATAAAGAATCGGACCCCGAAAGTAGGATAGGATCTTGGCGATGGGGTTCTCCTTCTCGGAGGTCAATTCGTTCCAGCCCGAGCGACGCCGGCGGTCCGGCACTTCGCTGCTGGACAAGCCCTGGCGGATGTCCGTGAGGAGCCACTCCTCCGGATAGCCCAGCTGCTGATCGACGTGCTTGACGAAGACCTTGCGCTTCTTCCAGGGCGCGTACCACACGCGCTTCATCTCCTCCTCGCCCTGCCCTTCGTCGCCTCGCCCACCCTCGCGATAGGTCGAGGCATACTTGACCAGTTTGCCGTACTCGTCGAGGTTGGCGTAGTCCTCCTTGTAGGAGACGCGGGAAATCCGCCGCGAGTCACGGCGCTGCTCCGAGCTCGAGGGCTGCGGTTGTGCGCCGCCGCCTCCGCGTTCGACGTCGAGCGTGTTGGCCACCGTGGTTGGCACTCCTTGCTCAGCCATGGTGTGTCTTGGATTAAATCACTTTGCCTTATGCAGCAGAGGGGGGGGGAAGGTGGGGGTTACCCTCTCTCTTTCTGCTTCTCTGCTGTCCTCCGTTCCGTATTACGAACCGGGAGGGGAAAGACGGCGAAAGCGAGAGAGAGCTAGAAAGAAAAGGATGAAGACGCGAAAGCAAACGATAGGCTGGGAGAAGTTCACCATAAGCCTCTTTTCCCCAACAGCACAAAGAGAAGATGCAAGAGAGAAAAGGCTTGACTAGCAGTGAGCGGCGGAAGTGCAGGGGAGCAGCGCGGACGACATCTGCGGAGAATCACCCTTGTGCAGATAATCATGCTGACGTAGTAGATTATTCTTTTCTACAAAAAGCTCCCGGGTTGCTGCGGAGTGAGAGTTCCGTGTAAGAGGCCCCGTACTGTACCTTAACCTCCCCAGGTTTACGTGGGTGTGGGTGTAACAGTGGTTTGAACGACCGCCATGCTCCCTCAACGAATGACTTTGCTGGTGCTAGGGGTATGACTCGTTGATCGACCACTCGGAGAGGTCTTGACGTATGAGACATGGTGCTTTCAGTGGGTGTACCGACTGAGCCCGTCTGGAGAGTGCCGGGCCG